CAAGGACCTGACGCAACATAAAAATCTGATCAATACATCTACGACCAGGCCGGAATCCGTCTTGCTGTTCTCGGATGTTAGCCTATCTCAAAGGAATCAGAAGTCAAATTATGACTGATTGATGACGATTGGTGTAATACTTATCCCGCGATGGGTTTCGCAGTCGTTGCAAGATCACAAAGTGTATGATTATTGGTTATACACACTGAAAACTCAACTGAAGTGTCTTAAGCCGCAGATATCCGCTATCCTTGGGACCCCAAACCGGGAGCCTAAAGCGTCCTGACACTGCCAGTTTTGGGGCTAACGCCTTCAGCGTTCAAGCCAAGGTTATTCGTTGCCCAACTAATACAATCATTTTTTATATGCGCCGGGTAAGTATATCTGTGAATACTTTGGGCTGCTACGTATACATTTAAACCATGGGGTTAACGTACCGGCTGAAAATTTTAGATAACTTACACTGACTGAACCATGACGGTACTCTTATAGAACTCGCAACACTCACTTGGCAGGTTTGGAACCGATAGTTCGAACGTCCATTAGGAATGGGCTGGGAGCTCACAGACGGATCTTGAGGACGAAAATGAGAGTCTTGAACTCGATCGCTAGATCCGGAGTAGAATGCACCGCTGGACTGATGCTCTTGTGGCTCGATAGTGTTCAGTTGACGAGATGTTTGGTCAGTCGGGTTTTGTCTGTAATGGAGCGTTGATCCTCCTGCGTGGAATGGCCTGGTTGGGCAGGAGGTCGACGGCCGAGGGTCTCTGTCATTTTGGGCAGAATAAGCAGACCAGCCGGGAGGACGGATATCATCAGGCGTGGAGTCAACTGCATCTAAAGGTGCGTGTTCGTTGCTTGTGGTATTAACCACTAACAACCGTTGCCTATCACGTTCCTCTGCCGGTGGAGTGCACATAGATGTACAAGGGGGACCAGGTTCATTTAAAGGGGTGGATGCAACTGAGTGCGAAGCGTTATGGATGAAAGATGATGTATATCCCTTTGTGGATTCCTGCTGAACACAAGAAGGACCAGGAACAGTGCTACTGATGTCAATAGCAGGGTGTGTAAATTGTTTTTCAAGCTGCGCCCCCACGGATGCAATTGGTTCTGAGCATCCCTTGGAAACCATGCGTCCCAATTGCTGAAGCGGCCGTTCGTAGTGATCTGAACCATTGACAGGACTGCATGGAGCTCGAAGATGGTCGCTTGGTTTAGAAGGAAAAGTTCCTTGGGGGGGCTTTACAGATATCTGCGGCCTGACATTTTGGGATGAAGTTTGGTGGGGCATAACAGTCCCGAAACTACTGCCCGTCGCTTGAGAGTCGAAATAATCCTGTGCCACTCGACAAGACTTGTCCTTCAAATGTGGACCCACCTCACCATCTATTACTTTGGTAGGTGGCAAGTACTCGCTACTAGGAGCCTCTAACCTTGAATGGCCCAAAACACCGTCGGCTAAATTCACATCACGGACACTACTTGTGTGAGGGATGTTTGCATAATTTGGCGCAAAAGGAACGGTGGTGGGATACGTACGTACAGAGGAAGAATCCATGGGAACACGAACGTCATAATCAGAGGTGTGATGTGCCTCGACCACGGGGGATTGTGTGGAGGGTGTTTGCCATTCACAAACGGGTCGTGGTGCACTTTGTTGTTCACAAGACTGGGCGTAGGAATGAAAGGCTGGGGTTCCCGCCGCACATGGATCACCAGACCAATGGGATGGTTGACATCCACGGATAGTTGATGAATGGTGCGTTCCAACGCGAGCAACAGGATCCGCACGCCAATGGTTGCGGTCGTTAGGATCAAACCCTGAAACAACTGAGGGATAATTCCGGGTTGGAGAAGAAGTGTTTTCAAACAGAGGTGTAACTGCTCCAGCAGGTATACCTTTTTCAATTCGAGGAATTTGTGGAACCACCGACCGCCCATCGCCATAGAAGCCGTGAGCATCTCCCAACTCCTGCAAAAAACTAGTACCTTCGACTTCACGGGATTCAAACTGCTTGTGCTCCATTGCATGCGTCGTTATTCCAGGAGAATAGACACAGCCAACAATGGCTTAATACCAAATTATCCACATTAGCCGTAGTGAAGATGCCATTTTTCATTTCATAAAACCCGCGGTGACATACAGCGCACTTCAACACGGAACACTTGATCAGGTCAGGTCAGGTCAGGTCTTGAAGTCTTGAAGTCTTGAAGTGATTCACGGGTTCGAGG